AAAAAAATCTCATCATTGATAGAATACAATCATGTCAGTTAAGCGAATAGAACAAATCTTGAAACTATTTTGTGTATTATATTTTTACTTTGTGTAAAAATATGATTTTCCTTTATGTAGCCTCATAACTAATTTCTCTTCTTTCCTTGGATAAATATACAAGTATTAACTTCTTTTTCACAAGAGCATAAATATTCTTTAAATTGGACAACTTTATTTATAAACATGATATTTATAAAATATTAAGTCTTTTGATGTTTTGTTTTGTTTTCCAGTTGCATTACTTCCGGGAACTCAAAGGACCAGATCATCAGCCAATGGCAAACACTTTCAAAGGTGTTCAATCATTACAGAATCGTTCACTTTTCCTCGTGAATGGTGAATCACCATTGGACAATACTCTAAAACCTCTGCATTTACCTCCATCTTCTCAAATTGTGAGAAAAGTCAGCCACATCACAGGTGCACAATTACAAACTGCTGAATGTTTTAGTGTAGTTAATGATGATTTAGTTGATATTATTCCTCATGCCTATTCTCATAATAATGAAAAATTCCTGGACAAAAAAAAGTAACCTTAGAATATGTAACCTTTCAAACTGTGGTTCCTTGATGTTTTAAAGATAAGCTTCCCACTATTGAAATAAAATTGAAAAAACAATTATTATTGAAGATACTTCATGTGTTGAATTTACTAGTAATCTTTTGAAGAACAAATTTCGAGAAAATTTTACATGTAGGCCTACAATAGCGTATTTAAAAGTATTTATTAACCTAAATGATATCAGAATAAGTTTTGTAAAAATTTGTCAACAATGTAGAACAGAAATACATTCAAAACAAACATTTTATTACATTGGAAAATAAAAATGTATCAAACATCAGAGATACTTTTTAAAGCAAATATTTGCATTTTGAAAACTTTATCTTTTAAGTGAAATTATATTACTTGACTCAGAAAAATATTTGCTTAAGTGATACACTGAATATGTTTGTTATTGGAATAAGCGATTAAGAATTCACTACATATCTTGCTTCTTTCTTGTCAAACTTGACATCTCCAATAGTTTTATCACAATTTCTACCTCTGACATTTTTCTTTAATTCTTTTTAAATTATATTTTTTTTAAAAATGGACTAAATTTCTTATATTTCTGTCAAGTTCAAACTATTTTTGTCATGATTAACACTTAGAATTGTTAAAAAAGAATAAAACTGTAATTAAAAATAAAATTAGCATAACAGATCTTAAACTCAAAATTTACACGTCATATATTTATGTAGTCTTACTCATTGAGATCTTCACTTCAATTTAAAAGAAATTGTATTGGAGACCAGTGAGAATATGAGATGATGTTTATTACTATGGTCTTTGGCCAGTGATCAGCTGTTAAATAACATCAAAAAGTTTTTAGAAGTAATGAGTGTAAAAATTATGTGTTCCTATATGTCTTTACCAGAGAAATAATATTAAAACTCTTACATTGGAGAAGACCACATTCTTTGAGAATTGTTTTCATTAGAAATTTTTAATAAAAATATTTATAAATTTTTTTTCTACAATTTTGAAAGAACTTAATCACATCTTTTATAAATGTTATTTCCAAGATATTCAGTATGAAGAAGAAAGTAATTTTGAAAGTTCTTCCCCTTTTGTTTTGATAGAATGTCGACAAATTATAATTTACTTTCTAGTGCTTAAATTTGTTTTAGCACATAAATATATTTTTTCTTATAATCAAGAAATTTGTGAAAGAAAATTTTCATTCATCAAACTAGTTATATTTGTATATTAAAATACAAAAAAATATTAACATCATTTTTTCTCTTTTTTATTCCACATTTACATAAAAGAAGAATAAGTTTCTGTTGCAAACATTTCTGTAAAAGTCATTTAATAAAACTATAATCACTTTCATATCTAAAAACCACAGTTGATAATCACTGTAATCCTTCAATCTGGTTACAATTTCTGTATATGTCTCCTCCTCTCTCCCCCTCTCTCCCCTCTCCCTTTCCCCTCTCACCACCTCTCTCACCTCCCCCTCTCCCCCCACTCCCCCTCTTTCCCCATCC